AGGAGCAAGGACGCTACTAGGGGCTCCTGGCATCGCTACTAGGAGCACGGACGCTACTAGGGGCTCCTGGCATCGCTACTAGGAGCAAGGACGCTACTAGGGGCTCCTGGCATCGCTACTAGGAGCAAGGACGCTACTAGGAAGTGACTCATGTGGTGGAAGCAGATCTTCCAAGCGATCTCAGGTGAAGAGGCTTCACCTTGTGGGTCGAGACAATCTCAAGCGCTCAGACTGTTATGGAGCGGCGCATTACTTTAATCTCAGCCGAGCCCTCTTCTTGAAGCTCGAGCCGCAGGTGGGGAGAGTCCGAGGAAGAGCAAACTATTCTTGATTTTCGTTTTTTCTTTGTTTTTGCTAGCGATGGCCTCCAACCCAATAGCGACGGCCTCCAACCTAAGACGGATGGTGATATTAGACATGCGCTGATGGCTAATGCTTGGTCAGGCAAATTTGACCGCTCCATCAGGCACGGACAGAACATCACAAGTTCATGGAATGCTCAATCCAACAATCGAAGTGACATACTGCCAGCTCATGGCGAGATGGTTTTGACTGGTGGAGCGAAACATCCTTTTCCTTTTGGGTGTGAAGTGGTGAAGCCTTGCAAGGTCTACACTTTACCTTGGTGGCAGATCATGGCTTTGCTTTGGCCAAGCACTGAGAAGCTGCTGATGTCGTTCATCATCCACATGTCGTTTGCCATTTGTCAGTTCTCTACAGAGCGTCAGTTCTCTACACAGCATCACCCTGGCAGATTTGTGCTCGACGCTTTGAAGAAGCAATGACTTTGCTGCTGGGATGCCTCAACGGTGCCCCAGAAGAACCTGATGTTGAGAGAATCAACTTGTAAAAAGCGACGCACCCAAGAAGTATTCATATAAGTAGCTACTAGGAACAAGTGCCTTACTAGTAGTAGCAGGTGCCTTACTACTAGTAACAAGAAGCTATTAAAAACAATAAGTCATGCGGTCTTTCAAGATATCGTTTCCTTTTCTCTTTCCCCTTGAAGAAGCGCTCGCACTAAGGATTTGGTTCCTAGATTTTAAGGAAACTTAACGTATTAGGTTGGAGACCATCGCTACTAGTAACAAGAAGCTACGTAAGCTACTAGTAGATAACAAATGAGAACAATAAATTTGCTAGTAGCTTCTTGTTACTAGATGTTACTAGTAGTCATGCCAGGAGCTACTAGCATCGTCCTTGCTCCTAGTAGCGATGCCCTTTGTTCCTAGTAGCGATGCCTGTGTTTCAGTGTTTCAGCAGTTTCAAGTCTGCAAAAAACACGTGGTCCAGGTACTTTGCAATGCTCCAGCTACCTGATGAATGCTATAGGTTATGCCTTTTGGCAGCTCCAGGAGACCCTTTTTCCATTTTTTTCAGACTTGGTCGCTTTTCCTTCTGCGACCAGACTCTGCTAGCGAACATGTTTGCCACTATAGTGTCACTAATGTTCCGTAAGAAAGATACATTGCCTACCTATCTTCTATCTTCTACCATTTTCTACCTCTGCTACCCACCGGCCCCTGGGTGGCCTCCCATCCCCCCAAATAGACCGACGCTCACAGGACGTGGCGCGCGCGGCACAAGTCTTCCACATGTGCCCGAGACCTAATAGGAATGGCCTCCAACTTACTGGCAAAAGGAACCTAATAGCGATGGCCTCCACATGTGCCCGACCCTTGCTTCGTCGATTCGCTCCTCGCTCTCGAGGTGCGTCTCATCACCTCGTCGTGCACCGTTCACGCGGGAACTCGTTCCCCCCGTCCGAGGTCTGGCGACAGATCCAGAGAATCCCATCATTTGGAACAACCTTGGTGCGGCACAAATGGAACCTTGGAGCCAAGAATTGACCGATGCTTTGAGAACTCACAACATATGATTTTCTCAAGTATGTAGAAAAGTAAGGCTGTAGATTCACTGTGATCGATCCTTGTTGCAATGGAGCCATCCTTTGCGGTGGGATGCCTCTGGTTCTTGGTCATCGCCTTCATGTTCTTTGCACAGCACCATGTGTGTGACGCCTACTTCGTTCCAGCTATCAATGTCTTCGTGGGGAAGATGAAGAAGAGCAGCAACAAGTGGCTTCAACGCTGGGGTGATGAAGCTGTTGCCGGTGCAACCATTTGTGCCTTAGGCTGCAATGGGCCGGAGATGTTCACCAACTTGATCTCACTTTACACCGGCTCAGATGCTGGGATCGGTGTGGTGGTTGGCTCCGAAATCTTCAATCTTCTCATCATCGTTGGCCTCACCATCTCTGCTGCGCCAGTCGTTCCTTTGGCTTTGGAGAGGGTTCCCTTCGCGCGTGATTGCTTCTTCTACGCCTTGTCGATCGCGTTGCTCTACTGGGCGCTTCTGGATCGTGCGATCGAGTCTTATGAGGCTTGGGTCTTGCTGGCAGCTGCCGTGCTGTACGTCTGTTGCGTCTGCTTCACCGGCGACCTGGTCAACGCCATCCCGGCGCTGCGTCCACCGGAGAGAGCCAGCGAAGTGGAGGGCAGTGGATCGCCCAAGAAGAAGGGGAAGATGCATGGCATCGAGGTCTCAGTGGAAGAGATCCTTCATGCGCGGATGGCCGATGCACATGGTGGAGATGCCGAGAAGTGGAGCGTCGACCCGACGGCTCATGGCATTTATGCTGAGCCACAAGAGGGGAAGGAAGCTACAGAGAGCAAGTCCAATGCACGACAGTCCATTGGGTTCCAGTTCGATGTGAAGGATGCCATGCCGAAGCCTCAGTGGTGTGAGCATTGTCTCCGTTTTTGTGAGTACGTAGACGTGGGATGTCTCTTTCACGCACGTAGACCGTTTTGTTTGGACCACGTTCTTTTCTAGTCCGCTCGACTTGCATTGCTGGACTTCCGAGAAAGAGCGAGAGAATTGACAGAAAGGTAAGCGTCGATTGAGGTTGGGAGCTGTTCTGAAGTACAAAGACTTGCAAGAGGTGGTCTTGATGGAGATGGGCGTGATCAACTTGGAGTTTTACCACAATTTGCAACACATTACCTTGAGACTCACGGTCGAAGGTCCTGATCAACGAGATCAGCTCCTGAAGAACATCAAAGAATACTCCCTGGGGCGGCCCTGGGTTCATGGATATGATGCCACCATCGTTGGGGCATGGCAGCATTTGCGCCACACCATCACTGCAAAAGACATGCCACTCATTCAAAGGCTTTTGGTGGTTCCTGAGCTTCTTGGCTTGGAAGCAAGAAGTATATGATTCTTCTGTCGAAAACCTTGATCGCTATTCGGTTGGAGGCCATCGCTAGTAGGTTGGAGGCACGCCAGTCATGCTTGAAGTGCAGTTGATGCAGTTTCTCAGCTGAGGTTCCTCATTGATTCTTTACTGAGAGGCACCTTGTTCGCCGTAGATGTGAAAGATGTCACCAAGGAAAATCGCTGGCCGCTGTGCTTTGCGGGGGCCATGTTTTGGCTTGCCATTTTCTCCTTCTTCATGCTGGAGATTGCGAATCAGATCCATTACAACATCCCTGCTTTGCCCAACAGCTTTCTTGGAATCACCGTTTGTGCCATTGGCACTTCCTTTCCCAATGCAGTCGCTTCAGTACTCATGGCACAGCAGAACAAGCCTGCAGCAGCGATTGCCAATGCACTCGGCTCCAATGTGCAGAACGTTTTCTTAGCCATGACCTTAGCACACTAAACCAGATGAAACATGTCGTCTGGACTGAGGAGTCCTGTTTCGAAACGAGAAACAGGTCGCCAAGAAGGACACCAGCGAACCCGAATGCAAGACATTTTCAATGGACTGTGTAACTGTGACACTCTTGTCGGACACTTTTGCGGGGCGCTCTTGCTTGACACTTCTTTGCAGGACACTCTTGTGCGACACTCTCCTAGGACTCTTGGTGGGGGCACTCTTGCCTGATACTCTTGCTTAACACTTTTGTAGAAAACTCCTATTGTATGCGACACTCGTACTCGTGCAAGACACTCTCGGAGACACTCTTGTAAGACACTATTGAGGCGAGGCATTGAGGAACACTATTGCTAGACACGCATGTGGGGCATTCTTGCTTGACACTGGACACTCTTCCAGTACACTCTTGTGGGACATTCATGGCTGACACTCCTGCCTTGGGACAACTCCTGGCATGGAATGTGTGGGAAACGCCTTGACAGAGTTGCTTTATCAGCAAGATCAATGCAAGACACACATGTTGAGTGCATGGTTGCGACAAGGTGTGCTTTATTCTGCCTGTGGAGGCTGTCTTTTGACACATTGGTTTTGGGTTTGTCATTTTTCATTAATGTTGCAGAGTCAACAGCAAAAGCCTAAACACATGGTAATTGAACTTCTCTATCGCGTGAACATCTTGAAGTTCAAAGCCTTAATACCAAAACTGTTCTAGACTAGAACAGACTCACAAGTGACAACTGGAAACCAACCACAATCTCCATGTAGAGGTTTCAAACTTATCAAACCATACTTCATGGGAAGTGCCGACTGAGATCAGGCTCAGTCAATTGCAAGATCAGAAATGAAGTGCAGAGTAGCTAGATAGCAATTATCCGGAAAGTCCATAAATTCTTGCCAAGTTTAGCAATTTAAGGGCTTACGCCCGACAGCCGGCCAGGGGCCCACAACAGGGGAAGGGGGAAGAGCAAACAAAGTGGAAAGAGGGATTATGGTTGTTGTTGTTGTTGTTGTTGTTGTTGTTATGGTTCTTGTTGTTGCGGTGGTTCTGGTCGTGGTTGCGGTGGTTGTCGTTGTCGTTGTCATTGTCGTGGCCGTGGTGGTCGTGGTGGTTGTGGTGGTCGTGGTGGTTGTGGTGGTTGTGGTGGTTGTGGTGGTTGTGGTTGTTGCGGTTGTTGTGGTTGTGGTGGTTGTGGTTGTTGTGGTTGTGGTGGTTGTGGTTGTGGTTGTGGTTTTGGTTGCTGTGGTTGCTGTGGTTGTGGTTGTGGTTGTGGTTGTGGTTGTGGTTGTTGTTGTTGTTGTTGTTGTTGTTGTTGTTGTTGGTAGAGACAACAACAGCTGCCCAACATAGTTGTCACATGTTGCAAGTCAGGGATTTCAAAGGGACACTGTTAGGGATAGGGCCGAAGGTTTGGAGAGATGCTAGTAGCTGGACTTCTTGTCGTTGTGGTACTCAAGTCTTGGTTGGTCTGTTTCTTGTTTTTTGATGTTTTTCGCGGTGTTGTTCTGGAGGGGGGGGGTCAACAACAACAATGGGGCTGCAGATTTTGTTTCTAGGGGGAGAGACAACAACATCTTTTGAGGGGGGGCCCAACCAAGCAACAACGGGGCTGCATGTTGTTGTTGTTGTTGTTGTTGGCGGCCCATCTGGGCCCATGTTGGCCTAGCTGGGGCCTATGTTGGGCCAGCTTGGGCCCATGTTGGCCTAGCTGGGGCCTATGTTGGGCCATCTTGGGCCCATGTTGAGCCCATCTTGGACCCATATTGGGCCATCTTGGACCTATGTTGGCCCATCTTGGGCCTATGTTGGGTCATTTTGGGGCTAGGTTGGCCCATCTTGGGCCTATGTTGGGTCATCTTGGGGGCCTCTTTTGGGTCATCTTGGAGTACTTTTGCGCAATTTATGTTGACACGGGCCCATCACACAAAAGGTTCCGAATATGCAACTCCGCGCGGTGCGCATAACTCGCACCATCCTGGTAAAGCCCACAACTTTTGCACCTTGCCACCACAAAAACTTTTGATCTTCCACGCTCACAAAGCTCTGTAAAGCACAGGGTGGAGCCCCTCTCTCCTACGGAGGGGAGAGAACCCTTCGGGAGAACACGGCCAGTGCCGGGCCCATGATGGACCCCTGGCCGGATATTCAAAGTGGTGGCCTGGTGGGCTTTGTCGCGCAAGTAATGGAGTGCAACATCTTGCGCATGTAAGGGAGGGCACCCACAATATGCCAAACCCTTAACGAAGCGCTTTTCACAATTGTTTTTGTGCTAGAGGGCAGACATCGCTACTAGGAGCAAGGACGCTACTAGGGCCTCCTGGCGGTACTACTACGAGCAAGAAGGACTACTAGGGGCTCCTGGCATCGCTACTAGTGACAATGTTTGCTATTTGTTTTTCTTTGGGTCGCTGGAGCTATAAAGACCCGTGCCGAATTCGGGTTTGCACAGAGAACCCGTCTACCCGAGGCGATGGCCTTGCCTTGGGTCATCTATCAACTTCAACATGATGGCAAGCCGATCAACCAGAATGTGGCAGGTATCAATGAGGGCGTGGTCTGGATGTGTGGGACCTTGGTCTTGGTCATTGCCTTTGTGCTCATGCCACCCTTCTGCAAATTATCCTACGCCTATGGCCCAATCCTGGTGAGTGTTTATTTGGCTTACTTGGTGTTGACGAGTGGGGAGACCTTCGGCTGGTGGCCTCCCTTGGTAAAGTAGAGCTTTGAGCTCGTGCCGCTGTTTCTCAGTTGTACATCACAGGATGCGCAAGGCTGCAGAGCCTGTTGCACCGGTTGGTTCCACGTGAAAACAAGTGCGAGTGTGCTCGGTGCTGTTCAAAAGAGTCTGAAACTCTGATTTTCAGTTACTACTAGCGGCTAGTGATGGCCTCCAACTTAATTGCGATGGCCTCCAACCTCCAAGCTCTCCGAATCCAATTTGTTCTTTGGCACAGATACCTGGATGGTCCTTAATGTATCTTGCTGAGCTTTTCGTTGCCAAACTCAGGATCTGGGAGACCTGGAAGGTGCGGATGAAGCTTTGGATAAAGCTCTGGCGTTGTCGGGGCGCCCAAAAACAGAAGGATCCCACGCGTTCGTAGAGAGAGAGAGAGAGAGTTGAGGACCGCTTCGGTGTGACAGGTCCGGTCAGGAGCCCCGTTCGTAGCGTCCTTGCTCCTAGTAGCGATGCCCTTTGCTCCGTTCGTAGCTTCTTGTTACTACTAGTAAGGCACTTGTTACTAGAAGCGATGCACTTGTTACTAGTAGCGTCCATTGCATTTCACATGTTCCAAGGTTCAAAGCAGGGCTCTCGAAGGATCCCGAGCATGAGAAGGTGACTGTGGCCAATGTTGCTTGGCTTGACTGACCTGCAGCTTGTCTTGGGAAGGGGCATGCCATTGGTGTTGGTCACCTCGTTTTGTTCTCCACTGCAGACTCAAGCCAGCTGCGACCCAGGTAGTGAGACACTAGGAATTCAGGAATTCCAACGTGTGTTTGTTGCGCTGTGCAGGTGAATGAACTCCAGATCCGGGCGCAAGGTGGCCAGGCACAGCCTTCCAAACTACACCTTCACGTCAAAGAAAGAAAAGAACGATCAAACATCCAGGAGTACGTAGTGGTTTACCTTGCATTGGCAATGGACTACAAAGGTCTATATAAAACAGAAAAGGAAACAAGAAAAAGAGAAGAGCAAGAGGGAATCGGAATGAATAGATTCTGAAGGAAGATACATCACAAATCGCTATACACTAAATGCAACATTTAAATGTAAAGAGGATAAGTTTGGACTCGAGTGGCCAAGACTTAAGACCATCCGAAGTGCCACTGGAAACGACCCGATCCTGCAGCGTTCGTGTTAGGCCTGCTAGGTTCTGAAAAGAGATGAAGGAAGAACGGATGGAAAGGTCAAAAAAGCCAGAGAAGGACACAGAAAGAAAGCATGAAGCGGGTGTAGCAAAGTCCAAGCTGCAGGCGACGAGGCGACCTGAAGTGGATATTTGGTATGGAGGGGGCGACGAGGCGACGAGTGAGAATGGGCTGCAGAGGACTCAGCCGCTGGTACGGCCGGTCCCACCCTGTAACGTCGCCAAAAAATGCTCAGACTTGAAGAAGCTAGTAGTAACAAGTGCATCGCTACTAGTAACAAGTGCCTTACTAGTAGTAACAAGAAGCCACTAGTAACAAGTGCATCGCTACTAGTAAAGTACTGGCTCTGCTTCTGCTTGACTGGAATGATCTGAGTCTTCCTATATCAGCACCCAACTCCCTTTGACTCATCGTTTGGAAGCTGTGCCCAACTCTCTTGCGTGCTCCTTCTCCCTTCCTCTCTCGCTCAGGTCGGAGTTATGATAAATTCAGTGCACTCAGCTGTGTGCAGTTGTCTCCCAGATGCATCAATTCGTGGGGAGCATGTGCTCTATGCAAGTAAAACCGTTGAACCCCTTGTGAGATTGCAACAGGGACTTCAATCCCTTTCCTTTCACAAGGTGTTGTAGATGGCTAGTTTTTTGGCAGCGGCCCATGCGAACAAGAAAAGGGCCAGTCAGGCGGCTACAAGAACTGTCGAACGATGTCGAACGTGAAGCTGCTGGCGCCAGCTGCGGCGCCAGTCTGGAAAAGCGTCGTTGTTCGCATTTGGTGCCTGGCCGACGTGAGGCTTGCCAGAGCAGTTCCAGCTCACATCAGAGGCATGTGGGAAGAGGGTCTAATCCCTTGGATGTCGGCCTTGAAATACCGATTGTTAACAGAAGCACGAAGAAGTGTATCTTAAGTCTTTCTTTTCCATTCTAGATCTTTTCTGTCCTGGTCCTGTTTCTGCTTTTCTTGCTTTAGACCTTTCCTTTTAATTTTTTCTTTACTGAGCACATCTAAGTATAGCACGCTTACTGATTGATGACCACGTTGCCTGCCAGGATGCCAGGATGCCGTCGCAACGCCGCCTTTACAATGAAGCCAGGCGGAGCATGTCAAAAGCTCTAAAGAACCACAATTCAAGGACCTTCCTCGCGCGTGACGCACCGGTGACGCGTCCGAGGCGCCTGGCGCAGCAACTGGTGCATCCTCCCAAGCACTTGGCCTTTTCGGATCCCACCGGTGGAGCATTGTACTTCGATCCACGAGGAGAGCGAGAGCGATGTGTCCGATGTGTTTACATCGTGTTTTTCCTTCGTTTAAATTCTGTTTTTTTGAGAGAAACATGGAGCAGAAACGCATGGTTTTCATTTGTTTGTCATTCCTGCCTTTTGTTTTCCTTGATCCAAGGTCCAAGGTGGAAGTTTGAAGAGTACATAGAAACATGTAACTCTATCGGCTGATTTCGCTACGCTTTGACAGGACCGGCCTGTCAGCACAGCCTTTTGCCCATGAGGGCTGAACCAACAGGCGGGTTTTCCTCCAGTTCTGTCACGGAGGAACAAGTTGAGAGTCTTCAATCTTTGGGCATTGCCACTTGCATTGCCCAAATCCATCAGCCAGCGCAATAGAGCTTTCTTCAGGTTTTTCGTTTTCTTCTGTCTTCCTGTCTTTTTTGGGTCTTTGGATCCATTCTCGTCTTGCACGTGTGAGGCGGAGAAGAGGCGGCAGAGGCCCTGGGCTATATTGCATGGTTTGGAACGAAGCGTGCCTGATCTTTCTGACAAGTTTATCTGATTTCTACAAGACATGTTGAGATTCGGTCGAAAGCCAGGCATCGAATCCAGTGCCTGAAGATGATGCTGGTGGAATTGAACCACCCAGGCTGGTTGGGGGTTCAGACATTGGAAGCATCTCGTCTGAGTCTTGAAACTGAAATATGTCTCACGTGCAGCAGTTCACTGCAATGACGACGAGGGCCTTGGCTCAAAAGAACACCATCAAATCTGAGGATGGCAGCATTTCTGGGGCCTCTAGCACCTCCCACTCATGGCACAGGTCATTTGCTGAGTCCGCTTGGGTCTCAGGTGGTTGGTGAGGAGGTCACGAGCCCATCCAATGACTGGTCAACGGGTGGAGGACGAGGACGATTGGCAGCCGCAAGCGTGGCGGCCCCCACGTTGATGGCTTTGATGGCGCGAAAGAGGCGGATGGCGCGCAGGAGATCTGCACCTGTAAGGCACTTGCGTCCATATTAGACCTGTCTTCCTTTGTTGCAAGTTTTGATTCTTTGTTTCTGAAAGCCATGGCCTCCAACCTAAGAGCGATGGCCTCCAACCTAAGAGCGATGGCCTCCAACCTAATAGCGATGGCCTCCAACCTAATTGCGTGCACTGAGGGGACGTGGAGGAGAGGTCTCGGACTCCTTGAAACCAGAGGATCGTTGGATTGAGCAGTTGGACTTGGAAGCCTTCGGGAAGGAAGTTCACGAGTTAGGAGAGAAGTTGAAAGCCGAGCAGGATCAACGAGATGTGAAGCATCTTCACAAGATCGTCTCCTGGAGTCGATTGTGTGCCTTCATTGGCTTGGGGACCATGTGGATGGCTCCCAATCCCATCTCCATGATTTTCTTGAGCTTGTGGACTCATAGTGCATGGACGATGATGGGGCATCATGCTTGCCACGGTGGATACAACCGTACGGATGCCACCGGGCGCTACAGCAGTCGTGGCTTTGCACTTGGCTCTCTTTGGAGGCGACTCCAGGACTGGTTTGATTGGATGCTGCCAGAGGCTTGGAGTGTTGAGCACAACAATCTTCACCACTATCGACTCTCTGAAGATGGAGATCCTGATTTGTTGGAGAGGAATTCGGCGAACTGGAGTCAGACCGAGCGCTATGTGTTGCCCTTCATGTCCATGCTCCTATGGAAGTGGGCCTACTATGCACCAAATACCTACAAAGAGCTGAAGATCACCGAGATGCGGAACAAGAAGATCCCCTTGCCGAACGGTTTTGACCCCCAAGCGGCCTTGACTTTGGGTGATTTGGCTGCGGGGAAAGGGAAAGGAGTGGTCTCCAAGTGGGAACTCTTCAGCAAAGTCATGGGGCCCTACTTCTTCTTCCACTTCTTTGTACTCCCCTTGCCGCTCCTCTGATCTTCAGTCCCGTCTTCTATTGGCATGGTGTATGCAATCTTCTCCTGGCAGATGTGCTGTCCAATATCCATGGCTTCATTGTTGTGGTCACTAATCATGCTGGCAACGACTTGTATCGCTTTCAACGCTCATGCAAACCCAAGTCTCCGACCTTCTACCTCCGTGCCATCACCTCATCCGTGAACTTTCGGACTGGAGGAGATCTCAATGACTTCATGCATGGATGGCTAAACTACCAGATCGAGCATCATTGTTGGCCGGATTTGTCTATGCTTGCCTATCAGAAAGGACAGCCCCAACTCAAACAGATCTGCGAGAGACACGGAGTGCCCTACATCCAGGAGAATGTCTTTGTTCGCCTGAAGAAGACCATGGACATCGCTATGGGTCATACGAAAATGCGAAGGTATCCGGATGCCTTGGAACGTGAAGCTGATATGATGGTGTGGAAGGATCAGCTGCAAACTGCATAGGCTGACTAAAAAAGGTCTAGAAATGTCTAGAAATCGCTTCAAATCCTGCTAATTTCTCTGCGCTGGAAGGCCAGCTGTATAAGGAGCTGCAGCTCATGGCCAGCAGAATTTCTCGGACGAAAAAGTCCCAGGGTGGAAGCTCGATGCAGAGCAGGCTTTTGAGCTCCAACCTAACAGCAAAAGGGACCTAATAGCAATGGCCTCCAACCTAGTAGTGATGGCCTCCAACCTAAGAGCGATCGGCGATAGTCATCAACTTGACAGTGAATACGAACAGATAGGAGTGTGCCATCATCGGCGCTTTCGCACCTTTTATTCAACTCCTTCGTCGTGATGAAATCAGTCACACTCCCTGAGGCGTGCTGTGCCCCAAGCCAACATGTGGTGCATCCAGCAAGGTTTGGAAGAGTAAGTGCAGTGAGGGCAGCGAGTTGCTAGTAGGTTGGAGGCCATCGCTCTTAGGTTAGAGGCCATCGCTACGAATGAAACAAGAAGCCACTAGTAACAAGGGCATCGCCACTAGTAAGAAGGGCATTGCCACTAGTAGCAAGAAGCTACTAGGTTGGAGGCCATTTTAGATTTGACGTTTTGTGAGGACTGAGCCCCGAGTCTGAGACAGGCACGACATTATCACGTGGTTCCATGTGGTGCCTCTGTGTCTTTTTTGTTCATTTGTTCCTGAAAAGCATCAGACCACACCTCTTTCCTTCTTTCCATGGCTTCTGATGCTCTTACAGACGGGCTTCCAGAAGGGCTTCACTTCTGACCAAATGCTGGGAACCCGCAGCCACGTGGGCCAGAAATCCGGCCCAGACGTTTCACACGGCCAGCACTCGGAACCTCGGACGTCCCAAATACGTTTGACTCGGTCCAACAAATGGATATACAACCTAGTAGTGATGGTCTACTAGTAGCTTCTTGTTACTACTAGTAAGGCACTTGTTCCTAGTAGCGATGCACTTGTTCCCAGTAGCTTCTTGTTACTAGTAGTAATGCCCTTGTTACTAGTAGCGATGCCCTGCCCTTGTTAGTAGTAGCTCCTTGGTCCAGATGGACTGTTTGGCCCTAAGACTGCGCCCATTGGGACTGAACCCATTGGGACTGTCAGCCTACCTATTCTGAGTATTGGGACATTGGTCCGAGTTGAATGCAGCAAGTGTTGACTTGATGACACATGGAGTCCTTTTCACAGTACTTTGGGAGGGATTCAGACGACGAAGGAACTCATTTTCACTTTGCAAGCACGCCATGGCTGAGCTCAGTGAAGAGATCAAGGAGCAATTGAAGCGCTAGGAATGAATTGACAGAAGCATATAGTTTTTCCTGGTCCTTTGATTACAGTACATTATATCTGGGCTTGCTGGAATCATGTCCAGATTCCACATTTGTTGTCAGGCTACTCCTCGGCCACTTTGTACTGTATATGTATCTAGTGGTTACTGGAAAGAAGAGCGATGGCCTCCAGCCTAAGAGCGATGGCCTCCAATCTACGTAGTGGTTACTGGATAGCAAAGGTATCAATGAAACCACGAACCATCCACCAGGACCTGGAGCGGAGTGCCGCCTACAACATCCTGGAGGAGCTCTACAGGCACTCTTTGGGAGAGAATGAGAGACATCTAAAACAACATTGGGGAAGGTCTCCAGGTCTAGAGCCTAAAGAAAACATAACAAAACATGAAGAAATAATTGGAACATCAATTGGAAAGTTGTTCTTCATTTTTCTTCCCTCTGTTGGTCTCCGGTCTATGAAGAAAATGAAGAAAGACATTTGAGTCATTCACATGAACGCTTTCATCCCTTTGTTTGGTCCTAAGGGTTGCTCCAGCATGATCTCATGACTCGCGTTGTCAAAAGATCGCGACAGGAATAGTTCCATCAGCAAGGCAGGTTGTCAATCGGGTCGTGGCTTTCAAATCAGCTGCTGAGAGCTGGAGATATACTTGCTCAGGCTGAGATGGATTTGTACAAAAGCAAGTATGCGAAACTGCATGAGATGGTGATTCAAACGCACGGCCGCCATGTTTGTTGCACGAAACACTTGTTCAATCTGGGGAGCCCTATTCCAGGGTCCTTACCCTTACCCCTTTTTGTTTTCTTTCCTAGTAGCGTCCTTGCTCCGTTCGTAGTAAGGCCAGGAGCCTCGTTCGTAGCGTCCTTGCTCCTAGTAGCGATGCCAGGAGCCCTTAGTAGCGAACCTTGCTCCTAGTGGAGCCCCGTTCGTAGCGTCCTTGCTCCTAGTAGCGATGCCAGGAGCCCCTAGTAGCGAACCTTGTTCCTAGTAGCGATGCCAGGAGCCCCTAGTAGCGTCCTTGCTCCTAGTAGTATGGCCAGGAGCCCCGTTCGTCGCGTCCTTGCTCCTAGTAGCGATGCCAGGAGCCCCGTTCGTAGCGTCCTTGCTCCTAGTAGCGATGCCAGGAGCCCCTAGTAGCGAACCTTGCAACTAGTAGCGATGCCAGGAGCCCCTAGTAACGTCCTTGCTCCTAGTAGCGATGCCAGGAGCCCCTAGTAGCGAACCTTGTTCCTAGTAGCGATGCCAGGAACCCCGTTCGTAGCGTCCTTGCTCCTAGTAGCGATGCCAGGAGCCCCGTTCGTAGCGTCCTTGCTCCTAGTAGCGATGCCAGGAGCCCCTAGTAACGTCCTTGCTCCTAGTAGCGATGCCAGGAGCCCCTAGTAACGTCCTTGCTCCTAGTAGCGATGCCAGGAGCCCCTAGTAACGTCCTTGCTCCTAGTAGCGATGCCAGGAGCCCCTAGTAACGTCCTTGCTCCTAGTAGCGATGCCAGGAGCCCCTAGTACGTCCTTGCTCCTAGTAGCGATGCCAGGAGCCCCTAGTAGCGAACCTTGTGCCTAGTAGCGATGCCAGGAGCCCCGTTCGTAGCGTCCTTGCTCCTAGTAGCGATGCCAGGAGCCGTTCGTAGCGTCCTTGCTCCTAGTAGCGATGCCAGGAGCCCCTAGTAGCGAACCTTGCTCCTAGTAGCGATGCCAGGAGCCCCGTTCGTAGCGTCCTTGCTCCTAGTAGCGATGCCAGGAGCCCCTCGTAGCGAACCTTGCAACTAGTAGCGATGCCAGGAGCCCCTAGTATACTTGCCTCCTCAAAGCTCACGGAACTTTGTTGATCAGGTCTTTCAAGCTATACTTACTCTCGATGAGCGCCCAGTCTTTATTGGTGGTGACTTCAATCGCTGTGACCAACACCATCCGCAAGCCTGGGAAGACTTTCTTGGTCAACTTGGGTCCACTGATGTTGATCTTACATTCCCAACATATAGCTATGGGCAACAACAAGAATCGCCTCTTGACCGCTTCCTAGTTCCCAGCCTTTTTTTGGACACTGCTCAATTGCATGTTAAGGTTAGAGGAAGATACCGTATCGACACTTGCCATCATAAGGTCATTACGGCGCTCCTGACTATGAAGCCTCGCCTCTCTCCGCATCCGCAATCCGAAAAACATCAAACCATTCCTACCAAAGTTTTCCTAGATCCTACTGCCTTTGCTGTAGGTACGTCCTTGCTCCTAGTAGCGATGCCAGGAGCCCCTAGTAACGTCCTTGCTCCTAGTGGCGATGCCAGCGATGCCAGGAGCCCCTAGTAGCGTCCTTGCTCCTAGTAGCGATGCCAGGAGCCCTTAGTAGCGTCCTTGCTCCTAGTAGCGATGCCAGGAGCCCCTAGTAGCGTCCTTGCTCCTAGTAGCGATGCCAGGAGCCCCGTTCGTAGCGTCCTTGCTCCTAGTAGCGATGCCAGGAGCCCTTAGTAGCGTCCTTGCTCCTAGTAGCGATGCCAGGAGCCCCTAGTAGCGGCGTCCTTGCTCCTAGTAGCGATGCCAGGAGCCCCATTCGTAGCGTCCTTGCTCCTAGTAGCGATGCCAGGAGCCCTTAGTAGCGTCCTTGCTCCTAGTAGCGATGCCAGGAGCCCCTAGCAGCGTCCTTGCTCCTAGTAGCGTCAAGTTTGGTGTTGGGTCCGAAACGGCTTGCACCATGACTCAGCCACAGATGTGCTCTAGAGTTTGCCGACACATGGAGCCCGGATCGGGCGGTCAGACCGCGTGTTCTAAGTTTTTCAGATTTGTTTGTTTTTCTTTCAAGTCTTTTTAAAAATTTGCGAGGTTCGAGAACGAGCAGAACTTTGTGACGAGAGCGAAACAGCTCAACCAGCGCTTGATGCACCTGGGCAGTCGAAGCGAACTCGTCCAGAGAGTGTACAAGCACTGCTGAAGTCACTAATATTTAATAGCAATGGCCTCCAACCTAGTAGCTTCTTGCTACTAGTAATGCCCTTGTTACTAGTAGCTTCTTGTTCCTAATGGCGATGGCCTCCAACCCAGCGATTGAAGCATTGGAAGTCACTGCAGACCGCAATGAGCTAAGGCAGGAAAAGATCAAGCTGGAAAAGACCACGCTGGAGTCACAAGAGGCCATACGGGAAAGCATAGTGCGGCAGACTAGATGATACTAGATGTAGGTCTTGACGTTGACATTCTTTGCCCGAGCCTGTTCTTATTCGCAGCTGTTAGGTTCCACTTGCAGTGGACATCCTTACTCACATACCTATCATTTCTTTTTAGCGCCTGAATTCTCAAGACCCTATCAACCGCACATTCGCAGACCTATCAGCACTCATTCTGTGCGTGCCAAAGAGCAATGGTGTCGAGCGAAGAGTGGCGCTTTCAAAAGCATGCGGGCATTGCAACGCTGCTGGCCTTCGTGGCGGGCTACGCTGATGTGGTGAGTTTAGTTCGCTATCAGGCCTTTTCCAGCATCTTGACTGGGAACGTGATCTATCTGGGCCGTGTCTCTGTCACGCCTCAAGCGGATGACAAGCATACGGGTTGGTTCTATGTGGCCGTGTGTTTGACTTTCATGATTGGTTCGTTCATGCAACGCCTGTGCGAGCTAGCTTGGCCCAACAGGGGTGGTAGTATAGCAGCTGTGCCGCTGGTGGGATTGATGATGATCTCAGAGGTCCTGTATCTCATCACGGACTGGCAGTACCATGAACAGGTCCTACGATGGACGGTGGTTTTTGTGTCGCCCCTATTCGGAGTGGTCTCTGCTGCCTGTAGCACTGGCCGGATGGGCACACACACGACCATGGTCACAGGGCATATCTTGAACGTCACCCAGATTGTGGCTCGACGCCTTTATGGAGAGAAGATCACTCAGGACACGTGGAAGAAGTTCACGATGAGCATCATGGTCATTGGTGGAACAGTGGGCGGGGCTTGCATAGGCAGTTTAGCCCTGATGAGCACAAAGAGCCATATTCTGTTGTTTCCAATGCCAATCGTGATCTACATCCTCTTGTGGTTGCATGATCACCTTGCCCGCCCGAGATCTTTGATCAAGAAGGTCCAGAAGAGATGGAGGGAGAACTCCGACAACGTGTCCGTCTCGGATTCTCACGATGATTCGTCAGTGGCCGCAGCCTCTGACGACGAGTCGGAGAGCCACGTGTGATTTTTCCCAGAATTCGCCCCGCACAGTGGCGGGATGGACACCTCAGGGCTCTGCAGAGCTTTTTTTGTAAAGAAGACGGCCAGACTAAGAACTTGGCGTTGTACAGACGAAGAGCCTAGATAGGACCTAGATAAACTCTGGCGGGCGCCACTTCATTGAAAACAAATAAGTAGGTACTCTTCAAATTCACATCTTGACAGCTGACAGTTCTGACCAACCACTTTGTCACAGGACCAGAACTGCATTGAGCAGCTGATGCATCAAAGGTTCGAAATCGAACAAGAATACCAGGCGCGTTTGCACTTTAACTTGTTAGAACTCATTTTGCACTAGATCTTTGATGCTTGCGCAGGTGGCACAGGATAGAGAGATGATGTTGCAGATGCTCGGTTTGCCAACCATGGTTTGGCAGTTTTCTGGACGTTCAACCAATGAACCCCTGCTTTGGATGGTTGTGAAACGAAGAAAGGCTTGGTCAAATGCAGCCTCGTGAACAATCATGAGCCAAGTTCGTGACAGCGCATGATCGATTATTGCCTGTTGGCATTTTCATGAGGATACAGCTGTCAGAGCTGCATCACGATAGAACTGAGAAGCAGGAGAGCAATGGAGAGTACTGAGCACTGCTACTAACTATTCACATTGAAGAAAGACTGATGCTTTGAGTCTGTTCCCTGGTGTCATTTTGACAGGAGCAGTTGAGAGAAAGAGAGATCGAGCGCCAAGCAGAGGCGATCCAAAATTTCCACTGCATCCGTGTTCAGAAAGTGATAGGAACTATGACATGATATGGCATAACAAGAGTGTTTGGTTTTATGTTTCGACAGGAAGTTGGTGTGCTTTCTGTCCTCCGGAATGGCAGTAGCGTTCCTTCATCGGTTGCCAACGTGTGAAAGTCTCAAGAAGAATCCCAGGAACGGAAAACGGATCTTCTAGGTTGGAGGCCATTGCTATTAGGTGGGAGGCCATTGCTAGGTTGGAGACCATCGCTGTTAGGGCGGGGGCCATCGCTATTAGGGTGGAGACCATGGCCATCGCTATTGGGGCGGAGGCCGGTCCATCGCTTTAGGGTGAAGACCATCGCTATTAGGGTGGAGGGCATCGGTACTAGGTGGGAGGCCATTGCTATTAGGTTGGAGGCCAAGTTGCTATTTGGTTGGAGGCCAATTTGCTAGTAGGAACGGAAAAACATATCTTCTTTGCCTTTCTTCTAGCAAGGCTGAGCCCAAGCTCCGCAAAGCCAGAGAGGAGATTGAGTTGCTGAACAAGGCGAGGTGGGACCTCCGAGGGAGGAGCAAATCTTGGCACTTAGCTAGTAGCTTCTTGTTCCAAGTAGTAAGGCACTTGTTACTAGTAGCGATGCACTTGTTCCTAGTAGCTTCTTGTTCCTAGTAGTAAGGATGCTCCTAGTAGAACGGCCAGGAGCCCCTAGTAGCATCCTTGCTAGTAGCTTCTTTTACAGCGATGGCCTCCACCGAGCATAGCGTCTTCGGTGTGAAGGTTCGGAGTTCGGAGTTAGGAGTCAGAAGTCCTGAAAGCCAAGAAGGAAAGCTATCAGGAAAAGCTGGAGGAGTACAATGCTCGCATCAAGGAGGCGGATTCTTTTGAGAAGGGAGATCACTTGCAGAACATCACTTGGTCTGACGGATTTGGTCCGAATTGATGAGAGCAAGCGTTGGAGGTTGAGCAAGAGATGGAGAACAACCGGGACATTTGCAAGGCTGGCCGGTCCTATGCCAGTTAGAATGCCAGTTGTGCCTGTCTACGTCCTGGAGGTCTACGATTCCGAACTGAACAAAATTAAAGATGACCCAGAGCGTATCCGCAAGCAGGCGCGGGTCCCAAGATGTCCCAAGACGTCTGCCAGTTGTCTCGACGTCTCTGATTGAAGTGAAGTGCACGAAGAATTAAATTAACTAATAGCTTCTTGTTACTACTAATAAGGCACTTGTTACTAGAAGCGTGGCAGTTTTTCCTACTAGCATCGTGTCGAGCTTCGAAAGAAGGAATGAACGAAAATAAGCCACTCTGCCTGCCTAGCGGGGCCTAGCGCCTTTGTTCTTCGTTTTTATGAGGACTTTCTGAGGAACGAACGAATATTGCAGCTGCTCAAGGCACATTGAATCGGATTAAACGTCGCTTCGATCCCAGAACTCACAAGAATCGTTGATTTGTTGGGTCGTAGCTTCTTGTTACTACTAGTAAGGCACCTGTTACTAGTAGCGTGGCACCTGTTACTGCCTTGGTCGTTCACTTGGTTTCGTTCACTCCGAGCGTTGTTGGATCGTTGGGTCGAACGGATTCGCTCGGCGTTTGGCCGCTTCGCACTTGGTCTCCTTCTCCTTGCGCCATGGTGCTCAGTGCGGTGGTGGCGAATTTGGCTGGAGATGAGTTGTGCCAGGCGAGCAATGGTCGGGTGTTCTTTTTGGATGGGATAGGTTCATGCAAGATTTAGCAAGATTTAGTAAGTGGATGTCAGTGACTGTCAGTCTGCTAGGGCTTTTCACTTTCAGAAGCACTTTGTGGTTTTTATTTCTTTTGTCTTTCCTATTAGAAACAAGCCAACTCTTCAACGTCGCTTTCCCAGATCCTTCCGGGGCGCTGTGCAGGTGGATGTCCCGCTAAACAGCAAAGCTTCTGACGTGAAGGTTATCATCGCTCAAGAACTGGGGATGAGCCCCTACACCTTTAAACTGAGTCTTGGCATGTCTTAGAGCAGCCTGAAAACCAAAGTTCAAATGGATCTGAACACCTTCTGAAGAATTGCGAAGAACTTGCACTGTCTTTCATTGCATGGGAAAAATCAATTCTGAGGATCACCATCGTTTCAGGAATGACACTCGAAGGAAATGATGGTTCTGTCAGTCATTTGGCTGACAATGGGCGGCTAGATCTGACACTGGTGAAGATTGATGGCATTCCAAGTCCAGATCCTTACGGATATCTTCAGCTGCAGACCAAAGGCACGGGCCCAGAAAAAAGGGATGTGTTGCGTTGGGTAGCTTTAGTTAGGTAGCTTTAGCTAGTGGGCCTCCAACCTAGAAGCGATGGCCTCCAACCGAAGAGCGATGGCCTCCAACCTCAGAGACCTAGAGGGGGGAGCTTTAGGTAGTTTTAGGTGAGCATATGGCGTAGAGTCGCGTGTTGATGGCAGGTGAGACCACTCCTCGAAGCATTACCAAGCGCTACAGACTGGTGATGACCATGGTGATCTTGTTGTTGGTTGCTTTTGTGGCGAGCTTTTTCTCTTTTCCACATGGCAGCTGGGATGTAGAATTTGGATCGTGCCGAGCAGCGGAGTGCTGTAGCAAGCGTTGAAAGATATTTACCAGGCTACCGCCTGCAGCCGCCGACCCCCAAGGGATAGAACCTTAGCGCTAGCCTTGCTCTATGTTAGCCTTAGCCCTGATCTGCTCTAAAAATTGACAAACTTATTTTTAATCCCGGCCAATGCTCAGGAATTTTCCCAGGAAGGGGCTAGGCTTTGTGTAGAATTTGCGCTGGACGAGGTCCAGCCAGTGCCCGTGGTAACGTGCCCTGGGAAGATTTTCGCATGCTTGTCAGGCGCCCGTGTCCGCGGCATGTGGCGTGTTGGTTCTAGGACGGAGCAGCGCAAACGGAAGCTTGGGCAGGTGGTGGCGAGGTTCTCGCGCCAGCGAGGGAAGAGACCGTAGCCATGTACATGCGGGTGGCACGCGCGCGTGGCGGAATGTCTGCAGTGCGGTAGGCCGGGGGGGGGGGGAAGGAAGGGTGCCCATGGTGTTCGCTAGGTCGCTTCAGCCAGCGAGGGCGTTGCCCATGTATGTCCCCTTATGCAGGCCACGGAAAACTGCTCGGTGTAGTGGTCGTGGGCGGACAACGCCGGCGCGCAGTGCGTTGGCAGGCTGGCGGAAGCCGACGGCTGCCGGAGCTGGACGAGGCGCGCAAGGGATGTGTAGTGGAGTATGGAGTGAAGCTAGGGGATGCGAGCGCCGGGGTGCGATGATCGGGTCTAGCGCGGGCGGAGCGTGAGTTGGGAGTTACCGGCAGCACTTTTGGCTGGAGAAGTGTGGTTGCGATGGCTGCTGATGGTCCAGGGGCAGCTCGCGGGAAGGGACTGGACCATGAGGACTCCGTGGATCCGGCCTGGAGGAGTGTGGATGCGGTGGCGCAGGGCGCTGCCCATGGTATAGGGTACAATTCAAGGGCCACGATGGTGTTGCTCGTGACCACCACGGGCATGTTTTGTGACAAAGCTTTGTGGAGCATCGTGTCTCGCCAGAAGGGCTCGGCGCTGCAGCCGGGGCGGAATAGGAGCTCTTGCGGGGCAATCTATGTGTTCTCGGAGCTTGGTGGCAAGGTAGACAGGAAGAGGCAAGGGCAGCGTGAGGGGCATTGGTCTGTCGCACAGGCGCGGCAACAGAGGATCGGGTACACCGGAGCTGGAAGAGTGGATTCGAGGGAGATCCGAAGCGGGTGGAGCGACAGGGCGCTGCCCATTAGTTTCATGGCCGGAGGGAAGGGGACTGTGCGGCAGACTTGCCTGAGGGCCGAAGTGGTGGCTGTGAAGGAGAACAAGGCTGAGATGTGTGCGGGACAGCAGTGGGTCGTGATTGATGACCACGGCGTGACTTGCAGGAGGCAGGCGGCGCTGAGGTTGCTGCAGGGGCCGGAGGAGGTGGCTCATAGAGCGAAAATGTTTCGCGGCACGGGGGCTGATATCTGGACTAGACACAGTCTGGTGCAGAAGGCGATCGCAACAGGCAGCACGGATTGGGAGGATGCGGCCGAGGAGACGATGCTGCACTGTGTTCAGATCTGCTACAATTCAGCCGCGAGAGTGGCCTCCATGAAATATACATCAGCTCGGGCGATGGGATATATGAGCCGCCAGCAGCGGCAAGTGGGGCTGAGGACGCGCTGGAGCAGGACGCTGGCAGTGGAGCGGGATCGTCGCCTGGAATGTGGAGGAGGTGGCAGTGTCTAGGGCGCTGCCCATGGCCGCTGCAGGAGTGGGCTAGGGGCGGACCCGCCCCCAGGCGGAGGCATTCGCTGCTGTCGGAATCCTGGGGCGCTTTGTCGTCCAGGAGCTGCGGGGCCAGGCACTCAGCCAAGACATTCAGTCACACAGCGAGGAGGGTGTGTGACGAATGCCATGCCAAAGAGCCGCTCTTTCGTTGCACCCAGTGTGGAGAGGAAAAGAGCAAAGCAGCCTTCTCCGGGCTCTCAGCCAAGACATTCAGTCGTGCAGAGAGGAGGGTGTGTGACGCATGCCATGCCAAAGAGCCGGTCTTTCGTTGCACCCAGTGTGAGGAGGAAAAGAGCAGAGCGGCCTTCTCCAGGCTCTCGGCCAAGACATTCAGTCATACAAAGAAGAGGATGTGTGACGAATGCCATGCCAAAGAGCCGCTCTTTCGCTGCACCCACTGCGAGGAGCACAAACGCAAAGCAGCCTTTTCCAACCTAGCGATAGACACGCTCAGACGAGCTGCCAGGAGGGTCTGTGACGAGTGCAACGCAGAGGAGCGGTGCTACACTTGCGCCAAGTGCGGCCAAAGCAAACCGACGAGCCACTTCGCCTCGCTGTCCCAAGATGCATGGAAGAGAGCGACCAGAAGGCTATGCGACACGTGCCGTGCCCCGTCGACGCACGGCCGCGCCAAGCGAAGTCTGGCGGAGAACTTGCACACGGACGGGGACGCCGCGAAACGCTCGCGCACTGCCCAGTGCCCGCGAGTTGAAGCACCAACCCCCATGCAGGCGGAAGCTTCATCAACCCAAATGGCCTCAAACAGGCGTGCAGCAGAGCTTCCCTTCTTTCAACAACAGACGGGGAGTGAATGTGGACTGACAGCCCTCAACAATGCCCTGCAGGAAGCACGATTCACCACGGAATCCATGCAAGCAGCCGCAGACGCGTATTTGCGCGCCCTGGAAGGAATCGACGAGGACCGAGGCGAGCACATTTCTGACACTGGATGGTACAGCGTCCAGGTGCTGTACACGGCCCTATTCAGTGCCGGATACACTTTGGATATTGACAACCCCATCAACACCCCTGCAAGCTTGGAGAACTGCATTGGATGCATCCAAAATTGGCAGAATACGCACTGGGTGGCCTATATAATGGTTGGGGAAGAAATTTTTCTCTGTGATTCCTTGAAGCCGCGGCCTGAGAAAATATCCGCAGCCGCGCTGGCAGCTACGCTGCCACACTGCCCAACGTATGCCATCCGTGCGTAGCTGCTCCTGGACGCCCCCCGGACCACGTCGTCTCGCGCGACGCAGTCGCCAAAGACAACGCCTGCGAGAAAAAAGACCGTGCGCGGGTGGACCGCGGGTTTTTTGTCCCAGATTGACCATCGGACGTCATCTCTTGCATGAACCCCGTGCTGCGGAGCCCTCCTCCCCATAAAGGATATCATTGCCCAAGAATTTAGACCCAACCCTTCACCACCAAAGCAGATACCCAAAAAGTCGACTTTTTGGGTACCTCCTAGGTTTACCATCGGACGTGGTCTCTTGCATGAACCCCGTAATGCTGAACCCTCGTCCCCATAAATGACCCAACCCAGCACCACCAAAGCAGGTACCCAAAAAGTCCACTTTTTGGGTACCTCCCGATTTACCATCGGACGTCAGCTCTTGCCCGCAGGGCGCTGCCCATGGTCTCGGATACAATCAAGCGCCACAAGTGTCGGCGCCCGGACTTGTGCTGAAAAGATCGGTTTCTCCCGGCGACCCAACCCATTACCACCAAAGCAGCGCCCCAACAGTCAACTCGGCGCCCGGACTTGTGTTGAATCGATCGGTTTCTCCCGATGACCCAACCCATCATCACCAAAGCACGTAC